GAGGAGGAGGAGGAGGAGGAGGAGGAGGAAAAGGAGGAGGAGGAGGCATGCAGCCCGAAACACTCTTGGTGCAGAACGTGCCAGGGCAGCACCCCAAGCACAGGCCAAGGGAGCCAGGCGACAGGCAGACGCGCGGAGCTCGATGGGGGGCGGGTGAGTTAGCACGGCAGCTCTACGGCCGAGGCTGACGGCAGAGGCCAATTCCCCACCGCAGAACAAATCAACCGAGGGTGCTGGTGGGGAGCTAGGGAAGGGCCCACTCGACAGGGACCACCTGGCCGGACAAGAACGGGAAGCGTCCTTTTGTGTCCTGGGCTTATGAGATATCCGACGTTCTTAGTATACGCTGTGCAAGTCTGTCGTGGTGGGCGTGCGTTTGCGCGTGCGCGTGCGTGCGGGGAATATGTGCATGTGTGTCCGTGCGCGGTGGTTTGCGGCACTGCTGTGTTATGCCGTGCTGCCCTGCCGCGCTCCTGCGGTTTGCGTGAATGTATGTTGCCTCTCTGTGTGTGCGTGTGTGTGTGTGTGCGTGCGTGTATGTGTCTGTGTGTGCGCATGCGTGTGCACGTACGTGTGCCTATGCGCGTGTGCCTGCGGGTGCGGCTGCGTGAATAGATGTTCTATGTGGTCTGCAGTGCTCCTGCGTGTTTTGCCGTGTTCCTGTGTGTTCTGCCGTGTTCCTGTGTATTCTGCCATGGTCCTACTTTGCCGTGCTCCTGTGTTCTGCAGCGCCCCTGTGTGTTCTGCCGTACTCCTGTGTGTTCTGCCGTGCTGCTGGTTGTTCTGCCGTGCTCCAACGTGTTTTGTGTGATCGGCCGCGCTCTTGTGTGTTCGGCCATGCTCCTGTGTGGTCTGCCGTGCTCCTATGTACTCTGTGTTCGGCCGTGCTCCTCATGATCCTGCATGTTCTGCCATGCTCCCATGTGTTCTGCCATGCTCTTGCGTATTCTGCTGCCAGTTAAAGCTATAGTTAAAGACGGGGCCCGCAAGGCGCAGGGGGAAAACGAAACACACGGGGACAGGGCCAGACGGGACCAAAGTCCCGAGAGAAGCCGAGCCCCATAGCAACGCGAGCCACGCGAGCCCACTCGCCACAGGGAGCAACACACGTGGGCAGACCGATGCTTATCCTTCACTCACTCTCAGACTGCGGGCCGCGGTGTGCCAGACGGCGGCGGACCCTGCGGCTCACCTGGCCGTCGATCGCCGCGCTGCCCGCGGCTGTGTACTCCTCCTCGGTGGTCCCGTGCACGCCGAGGAGCCCAGCTCTCGTCGATGCTGGCCGCTGCAGGGGCAGGCTGGCAGCTGCAGCCTCCGCCGCCTGCACCGCCGCGGGCGCAGCTGGCCCGCTGCCGGAGCCGCCGGCCGCGGCCGAGGCACCACCTGCAGACTCCGCTTCAATGCCGAGCCACTCCAGGTAGCGCTCCTGGGCGCGTCCTGGCACTGGCCCATGCGAGCGCAAAGCGGGGACGCCCTCTCCCTTCACTCTCTGATTGTCCGCTTGTGGCCTGCCTCCAGGGTGGAGCCCTCGCCCCCACAGACTGCGCTGGTTTCTGCCTGACTTGTTCGTCATGTCGCCTGGGCACCGTTCCTTCGGGCGAGGCTTGGCTCCTGCGTGGCTGCCCATCACCTTGCAGGCCCCGCACTTGGAGCAGGCCACGATCTCCTGAGTGTCCTCGCCTTCGCCCGCGCAGGCGTAGCTGAGCGCGTGGCCCAGGATGCTGAAGGCGACGGCAGTGGCCGAGAGGGCGGTCGCGCTGCTCCCCGTCGAGCGGCTGCCCTCCAGGCGTGGCCGCTTGGCGGGAGGGCCGACGCCGAGGGCCGCTCCAGCCAGAGGAGGCTCCGCGGCCGCAGCGGCCTGCACCTGGCGCCGCTCGCCAGCAGGAGGGAGCCCTTCGCTATCCTTGGCAGAGCCTTCGGGGTACAGCTTGCCGTTGAACTTGCCGTCGACTGGCCTGCGAACCCTCCAAATACGCACCGTCCAGTGCGTGCCGGAGATGTAGGCACCTCGCGCGTGCTGCTCCCACACGCACAGCTCGATCCCTGGCCCGAGAAGCTGCCCGATGGCGCCCCCGAAAAAAAGGCCGACACAAGAGGGGGTCGCTGCAGAGCTCCCGCCTCTCATAGCGGTTGGAGGCCTGCCGAGCATCCGAGCTAGCCTCAATGCTCAGCGCCCGAGGCCCGAGGAACATGGGATCGAACTCGTCAAAGAGATCCGCGACCATGTACCGCTCCGACTCGAGGTACCAGCCGAACTGCTCCAGGGCCCCCACCACCGCGTCGGTGGGCGAGGCGCAGCGCTCCCCAGTGGCGGCCCTTGCGCGCCTGGCTGCTGCAGCCCGCAGCCCCCGAGCAGACATCCTGGGCGGCAGCTCGGCTGACTGCAGCACGTCTGCCGTCACTGCCGTCGCCTCGGGATGCCCAGGTACGCCTGCTTGGCCAATGAGGTCGCTCCACTCGCTAATGCCGAACCCGAGGGCCCCGACCTCGTCCTTCTCACGGGCCGCTGCTGTGGCTGCCTCCATATCGGCCAGGGCGCTCTCCGCCTGCCGAACACTGGCGCCCCGCGCCGCCGCCGATGCCCGCCCTGGCGCCGGTGGGGCGGGCGCTTCCCCGAGGGCGTTGGGCCGCTTGCTGCCTAGGCGGGCCACCTCGGCGCCGCTGTCGCCAAGCTGGCGTGGCCCCGCAGCGCTGGCCTCACTAGGCACTCGCCTGCTCTGGCGGGGCCCCTCCGCCCCTGCCCCCAGCTGCGTGGCCAGCAGGACGAGCAGCCAAAGGGGCCAGGTCCGCAGCCTCGGCTGCCAGCCCCCGCTCGCAGGCCTGTGCCACCTGCGGCCACTCGCCAAGCGCGTTGCCATACCGCCCAGCTTGGCCGCGCTCCGCTGCGGCATGGGGCTGCCAGGGGCTGCCGCCGCCTGCGAGGTTGCCGTCGTCGCTGCTGATCTCGCCCATGGGGCAGGACTCTGCCCGCGGTGCTTGCGTGGGGGCCAGGGGGGGCCCAGCGAGCTGCGCTCGCACCGCCTCCATCTGGGCGCGGATGGCTGCCCATGCGACCTCGAAGTTGCTGGAGGCCCAAGCTTCTGGCAGCTTGTCCAGCTGCGTGAGGAGCCCTGGTACCTGGCTGGCTCCTGCCCACTCAGCGGCCCGCTGGCGCTGCCTCGCCTCCGCCTCCTCACGGGCGGCTTCCTCGAGGACCTGGAGCGCCCTGCTGGCCTCCTCCAGCGCGCCGTCCAGCTCCGCGAGCTCCTCCTGGGCCTTCTGGAGCTGGGCCTCCGCGAGGTCGCGCGCCACCTGCTTCTGCTCCAAGTCCTGGCGGGCTGCGCGGAGCCGCTTCTCCGCCTTGCTGATGGCGTTGGCCTCTTTGTGCAGCAGCGTCGACCGCGGCATGGTGGCGGCCTTCTGCTCCGCTGCTGCCTGCTGGGCCCTGGCCAGCTCTGCCCGCTTCGCCTCCAGCTGGCTGGCCACGACGCCGGCGAAGCTGCCGTCCACGCCCTCGGGCGGCCCAGCCAGCAGCGCCTCCAGCTGCTCGGCCGTCGCCTGCAGCCTCTCGATCGCCGTAACTCCGCCGCCGCATGGCGCCCCACTGGCCGCAGAAGCCGAGGTCTGCGACTTGGCGGATGCCGCTCGCGCGGCAGCGTTGCGGGCCTGCCGCTGGGCTTTGCGCCCCCTCGGCTGGCCCACCCATCCGCCCTTGTCAGCCTCGGGCTTCGCCACGGCGGGGGCCGAACCCAGAGCCCAGGGCGGCGCCGCATGCCCACAGCTGAGGCAAGAGGATCGCCAGTCCCAGTTCCAACCTCCGCAGCTGCACATCCAGCACGGCCCGCTGCGCTCGCCACTGCTGCCGCCACGCGAGGAGCGCGCCATGGCCCAAGGCGCGCGGCCCGACAGGTCGCGCCTCCGCGCTGCGAAAGCAAGGACCAGAAAAACAGAGTGCACTGGCCCAAAGCGAGGAGCCCCTCGCGCTCGGAACGCCGCGGACGACTCGCGGTCGTCGGGCGCCCCATGGCCTTGAGCCAAAATGGCTACGGATGTCTGCCGTCAGTTCTGCCCTGGACCTATGTGTTCTGCCGTGGCCGTGCTCCTATGTGTATTGCCGTGCTCCTGTGTGTTATGCCGTGTGCCTGCTTGTCCTGCCGTGCTCCTATGTGTGGTGTGTGTTCTGCCGTGCTCCTGCTTGTTCTGCCGTGCTCCGCCGTGCCCCATCCTGCCCCTGTGTTCTGTCGTGCTCTTGCGTGATAAAAGTCAAATTAAAGACGGGGCCATCAAGGCGCAGGGAGAAACCCAAACAAAACCACGGACAGGGCCAGACGGAACCAGAGTTCCCAAAAGAAGCCGGGCCCCAAAGCACCGCGGGCCACGCGCACTCGCAACAGGGAGCAACAAGCGCGAGCAAATCGATGCTTATCCTTCACTCACTCTCGGACGGCGGGCCGCGGCGCGCCAGACGGCGGCGCACCCTCCGGCCCCCCTGGGCGTCGATCGCCGCGCAGGCCGCGGCGGCGAGCTCAGCCTCGGTGGCCCCGTGCACGCCGAGGAGCCCCGCTCTCGCCGAGACAGGCCGCTGCTGGGGCTGGCCGGCAGCGGCGGCCCCAGCCGCCTGCACTGCCGTTGGAGGCGCGCCCAGGCCATCCTCGGCAGCCCACGCCGCCGCGGCAGCAGCTGGGCCGCTGCCTGTGCTGCTAGCCGCGGCCGAGGCACCACCTGCTGACTCCGCCTCTACGCCGAGCCACTCCAGGTAGCGCTCCTGGGCGCGTCCTGGCACTGGCCCCTGCGAGCGCACAGCGGAAATGCCCTCTCCCCTCACTCTCTGCTTGTCCGCTCGCGGCCTACTTCCAAAGTAGAGTCCTCGCTCCCACAGGCTGCGCCGGTTCCTGCCTGGCCCGTCCGTCTTGTCGCCTGGGCACCGCTCTTTCAGGCGGGGTTTGGCCCCTGAGCGGCCCCCCGGTACCATGTGCGCCCCGCACTTGGAGCAGGCCACGATATCCTGGGTGCCCTCGCCTTCGCCCGCGCAGGCGTAGCAGAGCGCGTGGCCCAGGATGCTGAAGGCGGCGGCAGTGGCCGAGAGGGCGGTCGCGCCGCTGCCCGTCGAGCGGCCGCTCTCCAGGCGCGGCCGCTTGGCGCGAGCGCCAACGCCGAGGGCCACTCCAGCAAACCGAGGCTCCTCGACTGCAGCGAAATGCACCTGGCGCCGCTCGCCAGCAGGAGGGGGCCCTTCGCAACCCTCGGCCGCGATGCCTAGCCAGACAGTGGCGGCCCGGCGGGTCCAGCGCCCATGCCCTCGCACGAACTCTGCCAGCGCGTGCTCGCCAGCAATCTGCCTGTCCACCGCGCGCCGCTGGTCTCCCATCTGGGCGAGGCGGTCGACGGGCTCGTCGCTGCGCCTCTGGGCCTCCGCAGGGAACCCACCGAGTGCTGCCTGCCGCGAGCAGTGAGCTGGCACCTTCCTCACCGCGAAGACTCCTGGCTCGAATGCATCCAGGGTCCTACTCCACCGGTGGGCGCTGACCCTGCTGGGCGCCGCGGCGCACGCATGCCCACGCGGAAGGCAGGCCACCTTGGTGCTGCAGGCGACGTTGACCTCCTCCCCCGCTGGCACAGCAGGGTTGGCGAGCACCCATGCAGCGAAGTCCCCGCCGCCCTTGGCCGTCAGCTGCGGGCAAAGGTTCCGCCTGACAGAGCCGTGCAGACCTGCGACCAAGTAGCTGACATCGTCACTCTGGGCATTGGCCCATCCAGGGCGGCGCAGGGCTCCGAGCTGCGGCTCGAGCACCGATCCACCAAGGCACAGCTGGCCGGTGAGCCCGCCGTCGGCCGGCGCGCGAGTTCGCCAGGCACTCCTCGTCCAGTGCGCGTTGGAGATGTAGGCGCCTAGCCCGTTGTGCACCCCCAAGCTCAGCTCGCTACCTGGCCCGAGCAGCAATCCGATGGCGCCCCAGAACGGCAGCCGCTGCATGAGGGGGCCGCGGTTGAGCTTCCGCATCCCGCGGCGGTCGGGGGCACGCCGAGCTCCAGTCCCAGCACCAATCCCAGCACCGATGCCCAGCTCCCGAGGCCCGCCGAAAATGCGGTCGAGCTCGTCACCGAAGGCCGCGGCCAGGCACTGCTCCGATTTGAAGTACCAGACAATCCGCGCCAGGGTCTGCAACCCCGCGTCGATGGGCGAGGCACGGCGCTTCCACGCGGCGGCACTAGCGCGCCCGGCTGCAGCCGTCGCCAGCCCCCGAGTCTTCATCCTGAGCGGCAGCTCGCCTGACTGCAGCAGGCCCGCCAGCACCTGCCACTCATGCAGCGTGCCTGGCCCCATGTTGAAGTTGCCCTGCAGGTGCAGCGAGCAGGCCAGCAGCTCACGCCCCGAGGCCGTGGACTTCGCGCCGCTTATCATGCGATGCATGTGGTCGCTCGGGCCCTGCCCTGCTACCTCTGCTGTCTGCAGGTCGTCGCGAACCGAGGCTGCGATGCTGCCTGAGTGCGCCAGCGGGGCCGCCTTGTCCGCGGGCGCGGTCGGGTGGAGGAGGGCCGATTCCCCCATGCTGCGCGCCGCTCCTCCGGCTCCCTCTAGGCTGAGCGGGGCAAGGCGGGCCTCCTGGAGCATCGCCAGGTGGGGCTTGGCTCCGTGCCACCTGACGAGGGCCTCGATCACCTCCAGGCACCGACTCCAGGGGCCGCCGTGGATCCGAATGGCCCCCAACCCGCAGCGGCCGCCCAGAGCCGCCGCAGTAGCCTGGCCCGGTGCCGGCGGGGCCAGCGCGCTCCCGAGGTTGCGGGGCCGCTTGCCTCCAAGGCGGGCAGCCTCGGCGCGGCTGCACTCATGCTGGCGCGGGCCCGCCGCACTGGCCTCGCAACGCACTCTTTTGCCCTGGCTGCGCACCTCCGACGCGGCCCCCAGCTGCGGGACCAGCAGGGCGAGCAGCCAGATGGGGCCAGGTCCGCAGCCTCTACAGCCAGCTCCCGCTTGCATGCCTGGGCCACCTTCGGCCACTCGCCACGCGTGTTGCCACGCCGCTCGGCTTGGCCTCGTTCCGCGGCTGGCTGCGGCTGCCAGGGGCCGCTGCTGCCTGCGAGATCGCCATCGTCGCTGCTGACCTCGTCCGCGGGGCAGGACTCAGCCCAAGGCGCTCGCTTGGGGGCCACAGGGGCCCCCGCAAGCTGCGCGCGCACCGCCTCCATCTGGGTGCGAATGGCTGCCCAGGCCACCTCGAACTTGCTGGAGCCCCAAGCCTCGGGCAACTGATCCAGCTGCGTGAGGAGCCCTGGCTCCTGGCTGGCCCCTGCCCAATCGGCTGCGCGCTGGCGACGCAGCGCCTCGGCCTCCTCGCGGGCCGCCTCCTCGAGCACCTGGAGCGCACGGCTGGCCTCCTCAACCTCCGCGTCGAGCACCGCTAGCTCTCCTGGGCCTTCTGGAGCTGGGCCTCGGCGAGGCCCCGCGCCGCCTGCTTCTGCTCGAGAACCTGGCGGGCTGCACGGAGCCGCTTCTCCGCCTTGCTGATGGCGTTCGCCTCCCTGTGGAGCTGCGCCGGTCGCGGCAGGGAGGAGGCCTTCTGCTCTGCCGCCGCTTGCTGGGCATTTACCAGCTCGGCGCGTTTCGCCTCCAGTTGGCTGGCCACAACGTCGGTGAAGCAGCCGTCCACGCCGTCAGGCGGCTCAGCCTGCAGCGCCTCGAGCTGCTCGACTGCCGCCTGCAGCCTCTCGATCGCCGTGGCCCCTCCACCGCTGGGCGCCCCACCAGCCGCCGACGCGGAGGTCTGCGACTTGGCGGAGGCCGCTCGCGAGGCTGCGCTGCGGGCCTGCCTCTGGGCACGGCGCCCCCGCGGCTGATCCACCCAGCCGTCCTTGTCTGCCTTGGGCCTCGCCTTGGCGGGGGACAATCCTTGCGCCCAGGGCGGTGCCGCATACCCACAGCCAAGGCACGTGGTGCGCCAATCCCAGTTCCACCCTCCGCAACTGCACATCCAGTAGGACCTGCTGCGCCTGCTACTGCCGCCGCCTCGCGGGGACCTCGCCATGGCCACAGCTGCGCTGGCCGACGGGCCGCGCCCCCGCGTCGCGAAAGCAGGGAGCGCAAATCCGAAGTGCACTGGCCCAAAGCGCGGAGACACTCGCGCTCGAAGAGCCGCGAACGACTTGCGGTCGTCGGGTGCTCCATGGCCTTGAGCCAAAATGGTTACGGATTGTGTTTTTGTGTGTTCTGCCGCGTTCCTGCGTGATCTGCCGTATCATGTATGTGATGTGTTCTGTGTGGTCTGCCGTGCACCTGCGTGTTATGCCGTGCTCTTGTGTGTTCTGCCGTGCTCCTATGTATTACGTTTGTTCTGCCATGCTCATCGTGTTCCTATGTGTTCTGCCGTGTTCCTGTGTGGTTTGCTGTGTTTTTGTTTGTTCGGCCCCGGGTGTTTTTTGGGTTCTGCCGTGCTCATGGTGTTATGCCGTGCTCCTGTGTGTGCTGCCGTGTTCTCGCTCATCGAAACAGCCCCAAACGAGCCCCAAACGAGGCCCAATATGACCCTAATACCGCCCCAGATCTTCCTCAAATGTGGCATTTCGCCCGAGACATGCTCACCCAAGAGAGCTGTTCGCAACATCGTCTTCCACAAAACAAGCATTATGTTTGAGACATCCGCACGGACCATGAAAACCGCGAATTTAAGACACGTATGGAAATGGTGATATCGCCTGAGACATCTTCGAAACATGAGATGCTGAAACGGTTGATTTAAGACCCTGCGGGATAAATTCCATCTTTTCGCCCGAGAACATCATCTGAAAATGGGCAGGATCACATGCCAATGCGATGTCGCACGCATCTCTTGTTTGAGGATGTCCCTCGCGAAATCGGTCTGTAAGCCTTTTCAAGAGCGACACCAAGACGATGTTAGAACAGCAGTTTTCAAAACGACGCTGTTCTTCCATAGTTTGAATATGTCCCCAACGAACTCGTCATTTTCGGCAGTCATCAGGGCGTTCTGGAAGCCATATTGAAGTCCTTTTGGGCTCTCATTTTTCCTCTTGGAGCACTTCAAGAAAAATATCAAGGCAACGTTGAGTACATACAATTTATTCGACGATGCCCCCAGCGGCATGCAAATGTTTTGCCGTGTTTTTTGTTATGGTCCGCCTTGCTGCCGAGCAATTTCCGAGGATGTCCCTCGCGAAAACACCGTTTTCAACATAAGCGGCAGTAAAACACCTCCAGCAACATCTCATGCGTGTGAGGATGTCTCAGGCGAAACGCAACATGTTACAGATGAATGAATGTCGCGACGATCAGATGTTCGAGGATGTCTCGAACGAAACGCTTGTTTTCGAGGGCGCGCCGCTGGATCTCCCCAAGGGGGGGGGAGAACCCCCCCCCTTTCCTCGATCCGTCGTCGGGGACTCCCCCCCCTCCCCCCCTTCCCCGATCCGTCGTCGGGGAACCCCCCCCCTCCCCCCCTTTCCTGGTCCGTCGTCGGGAACCCCCCCCCCTCCCCCCCTTTCGCCACGCCGCCCCCTAACTCCAGAACCCGACCCCCGCCACCCCTACCCCTAGTCCTCACCCTAACCCAAACCCCGGACCCGAACCCCAACCACTAACCCCAGCCCCAAAGAGTACTCACTACTCATTACTCACTACCCACTACTGACTACTCGCTACTCGCTACTCACTTCTCACTACCCCCTACTCACTATTCACGACTCACTACTCACTATCCACTACTCACTACCCATCACCCACTACTCCCTACTCACCACTCCCTACTCACTATACTCTCCTCCCTACTCACTAGTCACTACTCACTCCTCAGTACGCACTACTCAATACCCACTACTCACTAATCACTACTCACTACACCCTACTCACGACTCACTAATCACTACTCATTACCCACTACCCACTATCCACTACTCACTACTCACGACTCATTGCCCACAAAACACTACTCACTACCGACTACTCGCTTCTCGCTACTCCCTATTCCCTACACAATACTGACTACACAGTACTCAGTACTCACTACTCGCTACTCCCATACTCGCTACTCAATACTCACTACCCAGTCCCCGCTACTCACTACTCACTACTCACTATTCCCGACTCACTAGTCACTACATACTCTAGTCACTAGTCACTAGTCACTAGTCACTAATCACTACCCACTACTCACTACTCACTAATCGCTACTCACTACCCACTATTCGCTACCCACTTCTTACGACTCACTGCTCACTACTCCCTACTCCCTACTCACTACTCACTACCCACTACTCGCTACTCCCTACTCGTGACTCACTAATCACTACCCACTACTCAAGTCTGACTACTCTCTACTCACTACTCACTACTCACTAGGCCATACTCGCTCCCCACTCCACACTACTCGCTACTCCCTATTCGCTACTCACTACTCACTACCCACTGCCACTACCCACTACTCTCTATTCATCACTACTCACTACTCACCACCCACTCCGTACTACCTATCACACACGACTCACTACTCACTACTCACTACTCACTACTCACTACTCACTACTCACTACTCGCTACTCTATATTCACTACTCACTACTCACTACTCACTACTCACTACGCACTACGCACTACCCACTACTCACTACCCACGAATCACTATTCGCCACCCACTACTCACTACCCAGTACTCACTACCCAGTACCCATTGCTCCCTACTCCCTACTCAGTACTCACTACTCGCTACTCGCTACTCACTACTCATTACTCACTACTCGCTACTCACTACTCACTTATCAGTACACACTACTCACTACCCACTAGTCACTACTCTCCACTCCCTACTCGCTACCCCCTACTCGCCACTCACTACCCACTACTCACTACCCAATACTCACTACTCACTACGCACTAACTCACTACTCACTACTCCCTACTCCCAACTCCCAACTCCGTATTCCCTACACATCTTCTCCGGCGCAAAAAAAGAAAAGCGAGAGAGGCCCCCCCTCCCCGGCTCGGAGGGGGGGGGTCCGAGGGGGGGGGGGCGGACCCCGTCCCCCCCCCTTCAAGGGGGGGGAGGGGGGGGGGGTCGGACCCCCTTGAAGGGGGGAGGGGGAGGGGGGGGATCCGACCCCCCCACCTCGTGTATTCAGGGAGATCCACTGGCGCGCTTTTCCTTGTTTCCCCCACATCCAAAGATGGGGTTATTGTTTTCTCTGGACACCCCGCGCAAAAACACACAGGAACACAGGAACACCCTCTTTCTTCTAACTCACTCACCCACCGTGTACACACCCATTCACTCACACACGCCCACACTCACATCATCATCGCCGCCACATCATCCTCACTTGCACACCCAGCCACTTGCTCACACACGCACATTCACTCAGCATCACCACTCCTTTACTCACACACACTTTCAGTCACCACCTACCACCCATTCACTCACACAGATTATCGTCAGCATCATCATCGTTTTTCCCCATATCCAAAGTGGGGTCCTTGTTCCCTGCATCCAAAGGGGGGTTGCTGCCTTCCACATCCTACACGCGTGTGTTGCATTATCTGCACAAACCCCGCGCAAGAAAGAACACACCCTCTCTTTTTCTTCAACCGCACACTCATTCACTCAATCACGCACACACATCATCACTCACACTCATTCACTCACCCACTCACTCACCCAGTCACACCCTCACTCACACACTCATCGTCATCATTCACTCACGCACTCACCCACTTATTCAACCAACTACCCGCCCATTCACTCACTCACACACACATTCACTCACTCACTCATTCACGCACTCGCTCGCTCACTCACTCGCAACCCATCATCACCAACACCAACATCATCCTCACTCACGCACTCATTCATTCACACCCACTCTTGAAGAGGTATCGCACAGGAACCTCGTCCGTGAGTGAATTGCAGGGAAGCCTCGGGCGGGAGCCCCGTCCCATTGGGGCCCGCAGCTCATGTTTCTTCCCCGAGGCGGGACATCGGAATTTTGCAACTGTGTTCATTTTTTGGGGTTCCTGAGGCTCAACATGGAAGGAGTATCAGGCGAGAGCCTCGTCTGTGAGTGAATTGCGGGGAAGTCTCGGGCGGGAGCCCCCTATTTCTGAGGCCAGCAGCTCACGTTTTTAATCCGAGGCGGGCCATCGGAATCCTGCAACTATCGTCACTTTTGGGCTCCTGAGGCCTGAAGATGGAGGGAGTATCAGGCGACAGCCTCGTCTGTGAGTGACTTGCAAGGAAGTCTCAGGTGGGAACCCCCTCCCTATGGGGTCCGCAGCTCATGTTTTTTGATCCGAGGCGGGCCATCGGAATCCTGCAACTGTCGTCACGCTATTGAAACCCTGAAGCTTGAATATGGAAAAAATATGGCGAGAGCCTCGTCTGTGAGCGATTTGCAAGGAAGTCGCAGGCGGGAGCCCCCTCCCTATGGGGTCCGCAGCTCATGTTTTTTTTAATCCGAGGCGGGCTTTCGGAATCCTGCAAACGTCGTCACCTTTGGGTTCCTGAGGCCTGAAAATGAAAAAGTATCAAGCGAGAGCCTCGTCTGTGAGTGACATGCAAGGAAGTCTCAGGCGGGAGCCCCCTCCCTATGAAGCCCGCAGCCCATGTTTCTTTTCCGAGG